AAATTAATAAGACGGCACATTTGTCACCATCATTTCCAACCTGTCTAGTTTCGATTAGCTACAACATTATAGCTCAGCTCAGTAGTGTAGCATTTTAAACTAGAAACTCATCCGGAGAGCGGTACAGTTTCTCATTAGTTCCAGTGTGATTTTTACCAGTGTTCTATAGTCCAACCTCACACCTGTTGCTATGAGATAATGCATTTATGGGGGAGAATAAATAGAAGAAGGGAACACTCAGGGCCTTCTAGGTCTTCAGAGAAGGCCTAATGACTTCTGGGATTCTGGAAATTTTTAGTTCATTTATATTTAATAATATCATTATGAATGTTATATTCAAAATCTACAAAAGTAAAGTAAAGCTCTGGGCTGCTAGCAAATGGATGGGCCCAATTTCTTGAGAAAAAAACACCTCTCTAGGCCTTCTGGAAGTCACTGACTGTGACTACCAGTGGTAGCCAAACCATTAAGTTTCTGTCAGAAATGGAAACAGAAAACAGTGGAAGCAGCTCTATGGCAGGGCTCTTTACTGAAAGAGTCACTGTAAAGCTGCTACATACAAGGTAAAATATACGTTAATGTCTGTTACAAGCTTCAAATAAAATGTACAGAATGCCTTATACAAGCTTCAAATGTCCATGTTTAAATCTAGAGTTCATGTGCACCAGTGTTAGCTTAGTGCTAAAAAAGCACTAGCAGAAATAGGTGTTTTTCCCTCATTATTGGACCAAGTTTTGATCATTTTGGCCTGAAGTCCTGGCTCTGATAGATTAAGATTAATTAAGATTAAGAGACCCTTATTAGTCCCACAACGGGGAAATTTCTCCTCTGCATTTTACCCATCTGTGCAGTGAAACTAGTGATCACACACATTAGGGGGCAGTGAGCACACTTGCCCGGAGCAGTGGGCGGCCCTATCCACAGCGCCCAGGGAGCGGCTGGGGGTTAGGTGCCTTGCTCAAAGGCACTCAGGGGATCAAGCCGGTGACCTTCCAGTCACAAGGCTGGTTCCCTAACCTCCAGCCCACGACTGCCCCTAATAGTCACAGTTCACCACTGACAAATAGGCCATTTATTGTCAGACAACAATATTGAAGATTTGTTCTGGATTAAAATCATAGATCTTGTCAGTGACTAATCCAGCTCCAATACAGCTACATACTGTGACACAAATGCAAATGTTACCCATTAGGAAAGAAAGCAAAACACATATAAAGTAAAAAGAAACAACTGCATGGAAAAAAATACACTCCAAACAAAGGAAGGAAACCACGAAGCAATTTAAAAAACAAAAATTCTCCACCCACAGCACACAACACCAGTAGTAGAAGTTTTTGTGTTAGAACGCATGCACTCTGTTACAAACCGTATCTTTAGACTGTCCCATTAAGAAGAAATAGGGGGAGCCATGCTTGTCACTTTTCATGCACATGGAGAGGCTGGAAGGTACCATTCCTATAAAAGGGGAAGTAACAACCTAGACCAATCATTAGGGTTAGAACAATAGCTTGAAGAACAAATGTTAAACTGTGTGCAAGAGAGATTATATTAGACTGAGAAAGACCCCGTGTCTCAATTCGGGCACTATGTCCTTCATTCTTATGAATGATTATACATCAGAGGTTTCCAAATCTGGAGTCTAGTTTCTGGTCCTGGATTTTGTAATAGGTTTTAGAACTGCTGATGTGACTAATAGTGCAGGTGTGTCAAACATAAATCTTGCGGGCTGATTACGGTTCTCAGTCGGCCACCAGATGAATTTAGAATTCATGTTCTAAATTAAAATCATCTTGTGGACCGTAATTGATCACTTGCAATATGACTGACATGATGCTCGATTAATCACTGCTTAGCAGCAGTCTTTAAGCTCTAACTCTTCCAACAAGTGAATTAAAAACTCCAGAAAAACTTCTCAGAATAAACCTGGAGCGACAACAGTGCTGGTGGTAAATTAGTCACAATTTTCAGGCTAAGAGAGGTGGAAAGGTGTTACTGAGACATGTGTATTCAGGCACGCTACTCTAGTCATCTGGAGGGTGGTGCTGTTTTTATTTAATGGATTAAACTGTGTGGAAGACACTCAATGAGAAAACTACTAACAAGCAGCTCTAAAGTATGTTCAACTTAATATAGACTACTGTATTTGGTAATATCCATTTTAATATGATGTCTTAACAGTAAATAACCTTGCACATTCATTTTAACATCACTTAGCAGGTTAAGTTAGCTTTTCTCAGCTTAGATGCTAACATTGCTGACAGCTTAATAAATAAGTTAAACAGGACTGTATTTGAAACATTATGATTGAAGATAAATCTTAATGCACTCATATGCATGCAATCCTTTGAATTATTTGAGGTTTCGTAAAGGCTTTGTGTAAAAGACGATATCCTCAGCATCTAACACTGGACCAACAGACTTTGGTCTGACCATCTACTCTTTTTTGTAGGTGATATTTGTTGAATCAGTTTGCTCCTTCACTACCTTTCAGGCAAATGAACACATTTCTAAGGAGTTGTTGTGTTATTACTAAACTGATTTCTTTGCTCTAGCCCACTTGACATTGGGCTGTGTAATGTGGCCTGTTGTCTAAAATGAGACACCCTGGCCTTGTGTCACAGCTACCAGTGATTACAAAAACAAGGACTAGATTCAAAGTCCAGATCTGAAGATCTCTGCTAGACTCCATGTAGAAGGTAATCATATATTAAGCACTAATGTCTTGCATTCATACATCACTTAATCAGGTTTATCAATTAGCTAATGCTAACAAACTGCAATATGACATCACTGAATCACACCTAGGTTCCCAGTTAGCTAACTTTAGCAAGGTGAGTTAGCTGTAGCATAACATATCCATTTCCCTAATTACATTTTGAAATCAGTGTGTAAATAGCCTAATGTGAATCTCTGTCACATAGAATACATTTATTTAAGGACAGATGAACTTATGTGAAAATTTGAAACATTTCAACTGGAGCTTCCTCTGATGGACATACTTCTTTTATGTGTGTTAGCACGCAGTTGCTTAGAGCAAACAGTGCGCAGTGTTTGACGGTTCATTTTTCAATGGTTCCTGTGTGAATACACTATTTGCACTAAAAGTCACTTGTATACTACACAAGTCCTCGATTTGAGACACAGGGAGAAAGCAAAGAAGTCTATAATTCACTAGCTGAGAAGAAAATGAGTAATTATATTACACCATTGTTAATAAATACAAAGAGCATGCTTCGATAGGGTTTGTTATGAAAGAGTGTTGGCGAGAAAGAAGAAGAGGGAATTTAGGAGTGACTACTATTATTAAGAGGTTCTGAAGAGGTATTAAAACACTCAGAGCCTCACTGACATTAATAAAGTGAAATATTCCAAATTTCTTTTCGTCTCTGAACTCTACTCACTTCCAGATTTATGCCTGCATAATATATCGTTTGGTATTTATTATCATGATATTGGTCTTTGCTCTACTGATCCAGATGAGTGTTTCTATGGGTGTTTTGATTAATCAAGATATTCATCTAATCCAAACAAAAGTAAATGATTTAGATCTAATTAATGCAGGCCAACTTTTAACCATGTCAAGTTATTAATAGTTATACAGTACTGTGCAAAGTCTTAGCGATCTGTTAAAACTGTTTAAAACTATTTATATGGGCAGTATGTGTATTTTTGCCAGTAAAACACTATATAACATTAGAATAAAAACAAACAAAAATGAAAGCAGTACAAAGTAACAAGAAAGAAGTTTTCAAGAAAGCAGTTGTTGTCTTGTGAGCTGGTCTGTGGAACACAGGTTTAGTTCTAGACTCCCCCCCATTATCACATGGATTTGTTAAATTTCATCATCAGAACACTTGAATTTAATTCAATGAAAGATTGATTAGACAAACCAGTTTTTGGTGTTTTTCTGAGCAAAAAATGCTTACTGCCCAGAAAAATAGCTTACATTTTCTCAGATGCCTAAAGCCTTTGTACAGTACTGTATACGTAATACATTTAGAATGTATTATTATTACATAGAAATACTTACATATATAGTACTGAAAAAGGTTTAAACACATGAGAAAATTGAATTAAAAGCAATTTATCTGGGCAGTAAGTGTTTATTTGTTCAGAAAAACAGTAATATTAAAATAAAAAGATAATATTAATATTTAACCATTTACAAACATCTTGTCATGCCAGCCCAGTATTATTTGTGGTTACCATCTAACACTTGTTTTGGCTAATCAGTGCAGTTTAACAATTCTATGTAATGGCTGGCGGCATCCAGGAGACATCTGGAACCAAACTTACTCACAAGATATCCACTACTTTTTCAAAATAAGAAATTCTACTTACCTTTTACTGTATTTATGCTTATTTGTGTCTATTTTAATGATATATAGTGTTTTTACAAGCACCAACATGGTTACTGCAGAGATTATTATTATTATTATTATTATTATTATTATTATTATTACATAGGTACAATACTATGCAAAAGCCATAGGTATATGAAGAAATTATATGTAAAGCTCCATACCTTGGCCATTTCCTAAGCTCTCTTCATGGAAGTGAATTTACCATCCAATACAGTTTTTCTAATTAATCCTTCATTAAATTAAATCAGGTGCTGCTGATGGAATGTAAGAAATGCATGCAATGACTGGAGTGCAGCAAGAAGTCAAGACCCAAAACCTGTGTTATTGTGCTATTTAGAAGAACTGTGTTTATCTAAACATATGCATAACATTGTTGAAAACAAATCATTCTTGTTATGTTTTACTGGATTTATGTTCTAAAGTGTTTCCGCCTGCAAAAACTGCCCAGATAAATAGTTTTAAACAATTTTTGTGACTGCCTTCTGTACTGTACTGTATTTACATATACATAATATATATGGGGCATATAGGCACTTATATTTAAGTAATACAAATGGGAGACATGTATGACAACTTGTTCTGAAGAGCTGATAAAAAGCAAACATGTGTGCATGTACAGAACAGGGTTAAACCCACCATACTCAGGGACCTGCCCTGTGCCTCTCTTCAGCAGCAGGCGAACTCTGCGGCCGCCAGATTTGATGAGCTCGATGGCCCGAGCGTGGGTCATGTCCCGCGTGCTCTCTCCATTTATCTCAATGATTTGATCTCCAACCTACACACACATACACACAGGGGAAACACAGTGGTTAGTGTGTAGGGAAGAATACAGTAGTTTAGTCCATTGGGAGGGGAAATAACTAGAGGTTGTGGGTTGGAAATCCAGAAGCAAAAACAGTAAATAGAGAGAGACTAGAGAGAAACTAGAGTTAGCATGTGTTTGGGCTAGCAGATGAGGATATATTTTATTATGATTTGTATTTGATGAAAAGTTACTGTCATATGTGTACAGTCTTGTTTTGCAGAAAGGAAAAAACACCCTCTATATTTTGCCATGTTTATGTCATTTCATTACATTGAAGAAAAAGAAAAGTAAAAGTGCAGTGTACACTCCACCCTGTCAAGAAATTGGATATAAATGTAATGAATTGCACAACTATGCAATTAATTTAGCGCAGAACCATCTGAGCCTTCTGGGCTTTCAGAGAATGCCTAATGACTTCTGAGTACTGAAAAATGCATGTCTGTAATTTTTAGTTCATTGTTATTTAATAGAATCTTCATGCTTATATTTAAACTCTGCAAGTTTATAGAAATACTTGTATTTATTTATATTTAGTTGGAATCAAAAGAGTTATATTTGTGAAAAACCTAAATGGACATCACCCAATCAGGATCTCTTTGATGTGGTATCTAGGTAGACACAACCAAGTTAGCTCACCCATTTGTTAGGCCTTCAGGAGCTGAACAGAAGGCCTCAAACATTAGATTAACTACCAGCCTAATTAGGAACTGACAGTCGAATCAACAAATCATGTTTATATTTTCAAAGCGTGGGGCCAATTTTGTGAAACTCTGAAAGTTCTAGATGCATTACTGACTATCAATATGAACAGTAGTCTAACCAGGTTTCAGTCAGTTTTGAGAAACAAAGAACAGAGGCATCAACTAAAACATACGGAATGCATTTCACAAGCTTCAAATGTCTGTATTTAATCTAGAACAGTCAAAAAATGTTTGTGTGCACCAGTGTTAGCTTAGCGCTAACATACTATACATCTGATTTGTGCCTAGCATCCAATAGGGATTGAATTGTCAGAGTTTTTTTTTGTTTTGTTTTTACCACTACCTCTAAAAGTCTTATTATGCAATTTTGTAGTTATATTAAAATAACTAGGCATTGTAAACTGAATCCATAGAAAAACAATGTTAACTAGACTTGTATGAGTTAACTGTAGCCTTATTTAAATTTGAACTATTTGAACTGTTGCAGTGTCAACAGGAAGCGGTAGAAGCAGTGCTTTTTCACCACAAGGGGTGGCAGTAATTTTCACCACGAGAAGTGCTTTTCTTAAAAACCAAGGTAAAAAAAACGCATACAAAGCACTGAACTTGCGGGTGAGGTCACCACTAGCCATAGTCTTCACCCTTACAGTGACCAAACCCCATACCCCCCAGAACACAAAAAAGAACCCCAGAAAACACCCACACCCCCAAGACGCAATTAACCACAAATAACACACAACACATCTGTATACTAAGAAACAATCACATTTAAACAACATTAAAGTCTATTTTTAGGAGGGCGCGTGTCTACCATGAGCCTCCACATGTGGCCACTCACATGGCCATGCCTCCTGAGCTTTTCAGAAGCAGTGCCAGCCAGCAGCAGGTTGCTACATAGCACCCCTTTCAAAGATAGACCATCCCGGTGACCCACCAGCTTGAGCCAAGCACCTGGGTGCGTGCAGTAGTAGCACTACAGTGTGCCGGTTCCGCCTGCAGAATTCCCTACAGCGCGCCAGCTGCAGCAGACTTGATGTGGGCAGCTCCACCCAGCCACCTTCCTCTCTCTTCACTGCCCACTGCACCATCGATGCTAATATAAGTGCCCTGTGTGCACTTTGACCCCACCTCTGCTGCTGGTGACTGACCTGAGCTGGACAATCATCGCCTTCCTGCTGTCTGATGTGCCCCTCTCAGTGTGCATGAGCACACCTAGTCTAAGTGGGAACAGTGAGACCGTAATGGTGTGCACAATGAGCCATCTGCTGTCCATGGTGTGCTCGACGCACAGCCCGTGGCCACCTCTGAACCTCTCGGCCAGCATCTATCACCTACCTAACAAGCAAAGACATCAAAGTCCCTTTTCAGGAGGGTGCGCGCCTACCATGAGCCTCTTGCGTGGCCGTTCGCATGGCCATAACTCCCAAGCTTCTCAGAGTCAGCACCAGCCAGTAGCAGGTCGCTACAATATGTCTGTGATGTAATCAATTTGTTCACCGTAAATACTCCCATTTACAATTATAACTGAAATACCATATGTTAATATAGTCAAAACATAAAGAAACAAAAAAATTATGGAAATACAACCAATCTGGCATCAGTGATAATGTGCGTATGAATGTCATTCCTTATGAATAACGGCTCATTAGGATCAATAGAAATCATAACTCAGGCTGAAGTCTAATTGGCGCTGGCACTCATGGATGGCCGTCAGCAGTAATTAACTGCAGCAGCGTTTTGCTAATGTCAGTGAATGAATGAATAAATGAATGAATCATTGCTGCCGCCTCTCTGTGGGCAGCGATGACTGATGGGAGAATACTGATGATCTACTCAGCTTTATTGCAGATGAGAGATATACACTAGTGTATGTGTGAGAAGGATTGTTATAAGAATATTATGACATTGTTTAACCAATTTCTAGACATTTTACTTATTTTAAGTCATTCTATCTATGGAAATGGTCTTATTGCACTGGCAGATCACAATTTTTCCTTCAAGCATTATTTCTCGAAACAACCAAAAAACTACCAGTATAATAAAGTAATTTCACTAGATAAAACTGGGGTGAAATGGGGTGAATCATCCTGTAATATTCTTACAACAGTAATGTAAAATCTTATCTACATTTGCAGTGACAGCTTACACATGGGCAGAAACAGTTAGTTTGAGTGAATATGTGGCTGCAATCCAAAAGCAAGTTCAGCCCTACAGAATGTTAGTAAAAAAATCCCATTCAACCGAATGACAGTCTGCAGATTTTGTCAAAATACCAACATTTAAAGTGCATCATTATTTTCAAATGACATTTAGATCACACTTTCAGAACAGATTGAGTGCAATTTTGTGTCATGTAATATGTCTAAGGTTTTTAGATATAAATATCTGATAGGCAAAGCAGCTGCCACAGTTCTAGCAATGCTACTTAGCTAAGCTCTTACTTGTATCTCTCTGTGTCTGTTTGTGTTCATAGCTTAATTTTACTGGTTCAGCTTGAGGCAACATATTGTCCTGCTTCCTGTTTTTTAGTGATGATGTTGGTATATATGTCAAGAACAACAGTGAAAATCAGCATATCTCTTCATCCATGTTAGCTACTGGTATACGCTACAACCTTACATTAGCTAGCTAGCAGTTCCACATACTGACACTACATTTGTGTTTGTAAGTAGAAGAGCAGATATTTTATTTGGACAGGATTAAATTTATATGGGATCCTAGGTCAATTTAGGCTTTTACAGGAGCTCCATGGTGATTACATTGCCGTCCGGATCGGTCATGTCCATGATTTTCCCTGTGTTTCTCCAGGCAGATGTCACCTCGCTTTGAAAAAAAAAAGGTTTCTGACCACTGCTACTCACTGTGTTCGGTCCCCTAAAGCAAAAAGAGAATAGAGAGCCTCCCAGGCTCATTAAAGTGGTGAATATAATGGCAGCCACAGGGATGAACCAAAACATCATGACCATCTGCTTAATATGCTGTTGGCAAAACAGCCGTGACCTGCAGAAGCATGGACTCTACAAGACCTCTGAAGGTGCCCTGTGGTCTCTGGCATCAAGCCGTTGGCAGCAGATCCTTTAAGTCCTGTAAATTGCGAGACTGAGCTGCTGCAGATGGGACTTCTTGTTGCAGCACATTTCCCAGATGCTTCATTGGATTGAGATCTAATGATCTGCTTAATCTGAAGGCCAGGGCAACACCATGAAGCCATTGTCATGTTCCTTAAACCATTCCTGAACAATGTGTGCAGTATGGCTGGGTGCATTATCCAGCTGAAAGCGGCCACTGCCATGAAGGGGTGTCCCTGGTCCAAAACAATGGAAGGTAGGTGGCACGTGCCAAATTGACATCCACATGAATGTCCGGACCTAGGATGTTCCAGCAAAACACTGCCCGGAGCACCACACTCCCTCCACTGGCTTGTCTTCTTCCCACAGCACATCCTAGTACCATCACATACCCAGCTGCCCATGTGATATAAAAGAAAATGGGACTCATCGGAGCACGCAACCTTCTTCCTTTGCTTCGTGGTCCAGTTCCAACACTCGCTTGCCCATTGTAGGTGCTTTTGATGTAGGGGTTAGCATGTGCACTGTGACTGGTCTGCAGCTGCACACCCCCATCAGCAGCACGGTGTGTTGTGACACATTTCTCATGTAACCAGCATTAAAAATTTCAATGACTTGTGCCACAGTAGCCCTCCTGTTGGCTCAGACCAGAGGGGATAGCCTTTGTTGCCCTCATGCATTTTCATGGATGTCCCCCCTGATAAATTAGTCCAATCCAAATAGAGTTTAAGCGTCACAAAAACAGTTTGCAGCTTTATAGTGGCACAAAAGTTAGGGTAATATGTAATGTGAATTATGTAATGGAAACTCAAGGTATAGCAAAATGACGATTGTACCTCCAAGGGTTAAATGTAAAGGTCTGTTCTCTACAGTGAGAGTTCTCTGATACGCAACCTGTTGCTGAAGTGTAGCTTGTGAGGACTCCTAATAAGATCTGTGTGGGAGGGAATGTATAAAGTAATTAGTGTAATAAATGTGGCGGTCTGGCTGTAATGGCGGTTGGGACAGGGAGCCAGAGCTTGCAGCTCATTAGCCCTCATTAAGAGCTTGTTTAAATGGAGGACAGAGAGCAGCGGACCCCTACATATCCATCTCTCACTATTTCACTATTGACAAACATCCTGCATTGGCCACAGGGGCCAACTCTGTGTGTGTGTGTGTGTGTGTGCCTGAGTGTCTTTGTTTTCGTACCTGACTACAA